CCAGCTTTGAAGACCTGGGTTTGGAAGATGATCTTTTTGCACTCTTGTCAAGCTTGCCTCTCTTGGGGGACGCCAACCCTGACCGCTATGTCATCTACGTGGATGGTTCCTCACAAGGGCAACAGAGACATCGGCCCACTGATTGGGTTGAAGAACAAGGAACTCCAGATGCTTGGGCGATGCTCGTGCTTGGGGAGTTCTATGCCACCGAAACTGAAGCCCCACGTCTCCACCTTGTGGGTTGGACAGCGCAGCAAGTGAGATATTCCGAGCAGAGCCCCTTCTTCCTAGGTGCTACATCTGTCGGCTCACTCACTGCTGAGCGGGAAGGTTTAACCTGGGCACTTTTGTGGCGTTTGGGGCTCAATAAGCGCACCCCTACTCTGCTGAGAAGCGATTCCCTGTTGACCATCCAACAGGCACAGGGTCTGATCGGAACCGCCGCAATTGAGATGTCTTTCAACTGTCTCAGAGGGGCCTATCAAGCACTGGATTTTGCACTTCCTCCTGAGCATTTGAAGATTCAACATGTTTTTGGCCACAGCAATGAACCGTTCAATGACTTCACGGATCACGCTGCCAAAATGGAAGCCCAGCGTAGCTTCTTCATACGTAGACCAGACGTTGACATGAGCATTTGGCGTACTCGCCTGCCTTTTCTCTGGCTGCTTTTTGGAGAGCGATTTGGAGGACCTGCTTTTTGTCCAGAAGGTTTTGATGTCACGGCACCTGAGTTGCCACCACCGGTGCCACCGGAAACATCTGCTCGCGACGTTGATGCCCAGGCGACCACAGCCAGATTGACTTCTCTACTCAGTTTGTGCACAGCCAACATTCTCTCCATGTACAGCTCCCCTGATGGATTTGCCGGCAAGCTGGGCTATTTGGCTGAACAATTCCACGCCCATGCTCTTCTCATTGGAGGTCTACAAGAGACGCGTACACCACAGGGGCAAAGCATCAGTCACCAGGTCCTACGTCTGGCTTCTGGTGCTGACAACGGGCATGGAGGCGTTGAACTGTGGGTGAGCCTCAAACAACCCTATTGCTACGTGGATGAGCAACCTTTGTTTTTGCGGGCCTCCCACTTTCAAGTTTTGAGCGCAACTCCCAGATTATTGCTGGCCCGGGTTCAAGCACCACATTGGAATGCTCTGCTACTGGTGGGACATGCTCCGCACTCTGGCAGACCTCCACATGAATGCCATGAATGGTGGGATTCCCTGAACAAGCTCGTCCAGCAATATCGTGGAGCTTTACCACTTTTTGTCATGGTCGATGCTAACGCTGAGCCTGGTCTCGCTGATGGTTGCTGTGTACATGGTGACATACAGAGGGAAAGCAAGAACACGCACTTTTGGAGAGATTTTCTGCACTCCTTCCAGCTCACCCTTCCTCAGACCAGTGCACAACATGTAGGTGGCCTTGACACTTGGGTGAGCCCAGATGGTCAAACAGGACACTGCCTGGACTACGTTGCTGTACCCCAGGAGTTCCTGGTACATTGCACGCGCTCTCAGCTGCTGGAGACCTTTGATCTTGGAAATGAGCAGAGAGACCACACTCCGGTTGCTGTCCAACTTCAATGGAGTGGTCACTGCTCTTCTGGCTCAGACAAAGTGACTCAACCGTTGAACTTTGATAGGCCCAGCATTAGGAGCGCCAGCTTGTCGGGGTTCCTCAGTGACTTCACAGGCTCAACATGGCACACTGATGTGGAGTCGCAAGTCCAGCATTTCAATGAGGCTGTGCTTCAGGACTTGACCAAATTTTGTCCTCCAGTTCGACGTGGACCCAAAAAGAATTTCATCACGGATGACATTTGGGTTCTCCGCAAATTTAAATTACAACATCGTCAGAAACTTCATCAGTTGCGCAAGCGCCAAACAGCCGAAGCTCTCTGGTGCTGCTTCAGGGCTTGGAGACGTCATGATGACACGTTCTCTGCTGAGGCGGCCTTCAACTATGGCACAACGCTCCAATGTCACACCCTGCATCATTGGGCGGCTTTCAGAGGCTATGCGCACAAACTCAAGGCAGCCTTGCGTACTGCCAAGTGTAAAGGGATTGTAGAGCGCATTGATCGGCTAGGACGAGCTGCTCCTGCCTCAGCCATCCTGCACACCTTGAAGCCCTTCATTGGCAGTGGCAATGCCAAGATGCGAGGGAGAGCACCTCTGCCAACCATATCCAATGAGAAGGGGACGCCCTGTCTGGATCCAGAGGCAGCATTGAACAGATGGATTTCCTTTTTCAGCACCATGGAAGGAGGGGAACGCATGACCGAGCAGGAACAACGCAGCCACTGGCGTGCCAACCTGCAGGAACTCCGCGAGTCCAATCTTTCTTTGAATGTTGACGATCTCCCCACTTTGACAGATTTGGAGGCTGCTTTTCGGCAGGTCAAGACGGGCAAAGCCACGGGTCCCGATAGCATCCCAGCTGAGATCTGCAACTCTCAACCTGCTTTGCTGGCCAAGTTCACTTACCCACTGCTACTCAAGATTCTGCTGCATGGCCAAGAACCTCTGGAGCACAAAGGTGGGCGCCTTATCCCACTGTGGAAGGGCAAGCTGAGCCAGGGACTTTGCGAAGCCTACAGGTCGATTTTGATATCTTCACACATCGGTAAATGTCTGCACAGAACAATCCGTTTGAAGCAGTCGTCGACCTATGAGGCTTATTTGCAACATCAACAAATTGGAGGACAACGCAAAGCACCGGTTGTCTTGGGCGTTCATTTGGCTCGATCATACCTTCGAGCTCAACAACAAGCTCATCGGCCATGCGCTTTATTGTTCCTCGACCTCACCGAAGTGTTTTACAGGGTTTTGCGCCCATTGGCCCTGGAGGGAATTTGCCAAGATGAAGTTCTGGCTGCAATGGCACAGAGATTGCATTTGGGTCCTCATCTTCTAGCAGACCTTCAAGCTCATCTACGGGCACCGTGTGCCACGGCAAGGGCCAATTTGCCGCCACATCTGAGCTGTGCCTTGCGAGCTCTACACTTGGACACACACTGGCGTATTGGAGATCAGACAGATGTGTGCCGTACCACCATCGGCACGCGCCCGGGAGACGCCTTTGCCGATGTGGTCTTTGGCTATTTATGGTCGAGAGTCCTGGCGGACTTCAAGGCAGCAGTAGGGGCCGATGGTATCTTTGACGTCTTTCCAGACGATCATGGACCACGCCTCTACAATTCCTTTGTCGACACCGGCCCTGACGCCAAGGTTTTCGTTGGGCCTTGCTGGATGGACGACCTATGCATAGCCCTCAGTGCTGGCAGTGGAGTGGACTTGATCTCCAAGGTAAGGATGGTCACAGGAGAGTTGTTAGATCAATGCCTGGCCCATGCAATGACCCCTAATCTGGCTGCTGGCAAAACAGAGCTGATGTTTTCTCTCAGAGGCCGTGGAGCCAGACAGCTTCGTGTTCAGTTATTTGGCCCCACGGCGTCCCGTGTGCTCCCAATTGTTGGTGAATACCATACTCACCATGTGCGCCTGGTGCAGCAGTACACCCACTTGGGCGGCATCTTACATCACAGTGGCGATTTGCGCGCTGAAATACGCAGACGCTTGAGCATCGCGCATGCTGCATTTACGCAACATCGCAGGCTTCTCTTTGCCAACAAGCAGTTCACTTTAGTGCGCAGGGTCGAGCTTTTTCAGAGCCTTGTTCTCAGCCGCCTCACGTATGAGACGGAGTCATGGACCTTCCCAGACGGCAAGATCAAGAGCTATCTGCACTCTTCGGTCATGCGCCTTTATCGCCGATTACTTGGCCGAGCAGGTGATCAACATTTGACGGATGATTTCATTCTCTGCACCACGGGTTTGCCTTCACCTTCGGAATTATTCAGAATACAGAGACTGCGCTACCTTGGCACTCTCTACGGGTGTTGCCATCTTGTCGACTGGGGCTTGCTGAATGCAGACAGCGAGTGGGTAGCCCTGATGGAGGACGACTTGCGTTGGATTGGCTTTCAGCTTCGTGATGCCACGCATCTGCATTCTCCTGAGACACATCCCCAGGAGTGGCTGGACCTGGCACAACATCATCCCAGGTACTGGAAGCGCCTAGTGCGCCGAGGAGCGCTGCACGCCATCAAACAACGGAGCAGAGAGCAGCAGCTTATTCAATTCCATCTGGGGATATGTGATTTACTCAAACTACAAGGACTTCTACCTGAACAATCTGACAGGGCCACCACAAGACTTGCAAACCAGCCGACCACTGCGTTTGGATGCATGTACTGTGGCTGCCGCCACAAATCCAAGGGTGGCGAGGGTGCCCATCAGAACAGGGTCCATGGTTGGATCAATCCTGTGCGACTCCTGTTTGAAAGCACACAATGTAGTAGCTGTATGAAGGAATACCACACGGCTACGAAACTCAAGGCGCACCTTTTGCGTTCTGCACCTTGCCGTAGCCGCCTCATTGGTTCGGGACTACGGTTCATGCCTATGCCGGGATCTGGTTCTGCAATTGAGGTCGACAAGGAGAAGCAACATGATAGGCTGCTTCCCCCTCTACCTGTTCACGGACCGCAACCGGAGCAGCCACCAAGGCGTGACTTTGATGGTACAGACTGGAGCCTTCATGACGATTGCTGCCTTGCGTTCCTTGATGCAGAGACGGTTGAGGATGCAGTTTCCAGCGTGCGAGCTCGCATTCAGCAAACACCTATCTCGTGGACTATGTGCCGGACCACACTTCTGCAACTTGCCACTACAGTCTCTGAGCATGCTGGTGAAGAAGCGTTAGGGCACCTGGACAGCCGACGTCTGTCCGCGGGCATTGGTGGCCTTGCGGAACCAGGAAGCTGGCCTTTTCTTCAAGACGACTGCGTGCAGCCGCGGGAGGAAGGGAGCTTGGGACAGCTTGAGGCTGAACTCTTGAGGTGTCAAGTACCGGAAGATTGGCCGACCCCGAGAAGTTTCGGGCGACACAGAACGCCTTTTCAGGTAGGAGGCGTCTCGGGGACTTTCAGTACTACCTTGACTCCTTCCTGGCGGCCGAGGGCAGTGGCTTTGTGGTTCACACTGTGTCCTTAGACATCGTTGTCGATTCGGAGAAAGGCGACATTTCCAAACCTGAGATCCGAAACTTTTGGCTTCATGGTATTGATGAGGGTTGGATCCTTGCTTTTTTGGCTGGCCCCCCCTGCGAGACTTGGTCCAGGGCCAGGGCCGTCCAATGTGATCATGCTGATCGACAAGGTCCCAGGGTCATCCGCACTGCCGAAGATTTGTGGGGGCTTGCACACCTTCGCATCAGAGAACTTGAGCAGATTGACGTGGGCAACTTGCTCTTGTGCTTCTCTGCGGAAGCATTCCTACGTTTGGCATGTGTCGGTGGCTCCGCTACCATTGAACACCCGAAGGAGCCAGAGGAGGTGCACTTCGCTTCTATTTGGAAATTGCCTCTCTTCCAGATGCTGCTCTTGCTACCTGGGGTCGAGCTTCACTCCCTCAGCCAGGGCTTCCTTGGGGCGCCTTCTTGCAAGCCAACTAGCCTTTTGTGCTTGAACTTGCCGCACATCACCCAGGCGATCGTGAAGAACCAGGTGACAAGCACCATGCCGAAGGGCGCCGCGATTGGCAAGACCGCATCTGGCCAATGGGCCACTAGCTCCTTAAAGGAGTATCCTCCAGCACTCAACAGAGCGCTGGCGGAACAGTTTTTTCAGGCCATCACCACACCTTCTTGCGATGAAGGGATTTCTGTGGATGACGACTTCCTCCAGGTGTGTAAAGATTTGACCGTAACGAAGTTTACGGATCACCTTGGACGGGATTTCGCTGGATGACCTGATTTTCTGGAATTCAACTAGCTCGAGCCGCGACGACAGTCCCAAAAGGCCGAATGTGAAAAAAAATATATATATATATGTCATTTATATAGTGATACATTTTGCATCGATGGATGCTGCAACTCCGCGCCAGGACGGTGTATGGCTGCATGCGCAGCGTGGGATCCAAAGAGATGCCGAATTTCGACGAAGGCGGGAGGTCTCATCAAAAAAACGTGGTGAAACGATGGAGGTCTCCATAGCTGTTACATAATAACTCACGACTCGACGACTCAAATCATATTAAATCATATTAAATCATATTAAATCATATTAAATCATATTAAATCATATTAAATCATATTAAATCATATTAAATCATATTAAATCATCATTGCAGTTAGATCTTAGATATTTCCATCATTTTCCATCCATGAATTTCCATGTTTTTTTTGATGGCATGGCCACGGTGGCCCAGGTCTGTTCCTCCAGGCCTGGCTCTGTCTCCTGACACGACGCTTCCGTGGCCCTGAAGGCTCCGCCTTGGTGCCAGGCGGAGCCGACGAAGGGAGCGACTTTTTCGGGGGATGAAGTGACAAATATCCCAAAGATATGGTTACCCTCTGGTAAACTAACATAACTACGGAAAATCATCATTTTTGATGGGTAAATCAACTATAAATAGCCATTTTCAATAGCTATGCTAAATTACCAGAGGGTATGATGATATGCTAGTGACCATAATTGGGATATATTTGGGATGATTATATAATTTTTTGTGGTTATGATGATGATTTTATATTGATATGATGATCAAAAATCACTAGCATGTCATAACACATCTGAAACAAATATAGTGATTGATGATTCATCTGATGATTTTCAATTTTTCATCAGATCTCCCAAATGTGTCGAAATAGTGAGAAGTGACGACATGTTTGGCATCTGTTTGGTGGTTATGATGGATATGGTACATCCAGTAATTCTTGGGATGACGAAACAATTAGCATACATATTTGAATCCAACGGGAGTAGACTTGGACTCACGCGGGTTCGAGGTCAGTCCAGCCTGTGTCCAGAAGTTAGTGAAGAATGATGAAAGTTCAAACAGCCTATCAATTGCTGGGGGTAAACCAATAATCCATTATGGTTTAGTACTGGATCTATTCATGACTTAGCTCTCTTATTTTTGTTACTTCATATTAGGGGGATATTAGGGGGATGAACCAGATATACCATGATATACCCCCAATTGGTCATGAACATCACGAACAGGATGAGAATTCCCCCCTGCAGGGGTTGACTTTCTCAACCATTCCTGGGAGCCGAATGCGTCGAGCGATTGGGACGAGGCCCGTCACAGGGAAGCAGCTGGGAAAGAGGGGAGGAATGAGCCGCGCTGGAATGGGGATATCAGTTTTCTTTACATGGGAACGGGGGTATAATTCAAACAGATTTGGAGATTTGGAGATGGCACATATGGAACCAGCTGAGCAAATGCTGGATGAACATCCCTAAATCCCGGTGAGGTGTGAACAAATGGAGATTAGGGTGAACAACTGACCCATAGCCGCTTTTGGCGGAGATGTTTAGGAGTTGAAGAGATTGGTTGCCATCTAACTGAGAGAAACCTGTGATGTAGTTACAAAGTATCCCAACTTCTCAAGGCTCGTGTTTTTCATTGTGAGCTCTCGCCGTGCAGGAATCGGGTGCAGTCATTGTTACAACCACCCAAGATCTGAAACAAGGCGGCACCACTTTGCGGCACCTGGATGGCTAGGCGGCTAGACAGCCGATGGCGGGGGGAACCAGCCCTCAGCGATTGGATGAACCTCGCGAAACTGACGAATCTTTTTTTCGCAGGTGAAGAGGTCTTGATCAGCTATGGTGACTTTTCCAATCCCCTGCTGTTCCGGACGTATGGCTTTACCTTGCCATCGCGGCCAGGGTCCCAGGAGTCTCAGGAGTCCCAGGATATGCCCATCAAAAAGACTAAAGACCTGAAGAATGAAGATGTTTGTCCCAGATTTGTCCCAGATTTTCTCGGCATTTTCCATGGTTTTCCCAGATGTTCATGGCATTTTCCGTAGATTTTCCCAGCAACCGTTGTGCCTGGTGGCTTTCTCAAAGGTGCGAAACCTGCCGGAGCTGTACCTTCACTGAGGAGGCGAGCGGCTAGCGGCTTAAGCCAAGTCACAGCTGGGATTTTCCCATGATGAGAGAGGGTATCACCAAGATAACTTAACCATGTTAGAATCAAGTGATTTATGGACTGGTTGGTGGTTTCAAACATTGTTGAAATTTCCCATTTCATAATCATAATATATATATTATATATATAATATATATATATGGAATGTCATCCTTCCCATTGACGAACACTCCATCATTTTTCAAGATGGGCACATTGCACCACCAACCAGTGGATATTTATGGCATCGTTTCTTACAGATTTCGGTCCTGATTTTGGTCAACCTGCCCAGGAGCTGCTGGCAACGGCGCCAAAAGAGGTGGCAGAGGACTTGCAGGCGACATCTGAAACATCTGGCGGACATAAAAAAAGTGTTGGAAAATCATGGAAAATCATCCATAAAAAAAGATTCTATAGATCACCTTGAGGCAGGAATTGCAGGTTTTTGTGATGAAACTTCAAGTCTTTTTTATTCAGGCTCACGGTCTGGTTCCAAGAGTTACAAAAGGCATGAGTTTCCCTTCTTTTGGTTTTCTCAGGACATTCATTCTTTTATGATCTTTTATGAATTTATAAGTATTTATATGTTCTACCTTTAGAATTATTCGGGATGACGGTGAAAGGCCGTGTGTGATCGTTGTGTCCACTTCCTTCGGTGTAGCCACAAGTAACCTTCGTCCCTATGCGGAATCCTTGGATGCTTGGTGGGAGAATCATAGACAAACAGACTTTTGATATCTTTAAATTTTAACCAGAAAGCACATCTATAGATGTGTTACTGTGTTATGGTCAAGGCTGTTTCTTTGTGACCAACATTTGGATGTTCTCCTTAAAATAGGATGGAATCAGAATATCATGTGGTTTATCATCATGTTCACCATTGAAGATAGCTGTTTCGATGTTTTTTTTTGGGGGACATTCCACATGTTCACCCCAAATATCAGATGAAGTTGGTCCAACAAAGCCATCAACCCATCAACCCACCAGTTTCGCGCACGTCAGGCGTTGCCTAATTTGCACCTCAACAGCATGCAGGTTACGGATGAGTTGGCCGTGCTCTTGCAGGCACGGTTTAAAATGTTTAAAATCGCAGCAGACGCGGTTTGTTGTGGGACATGTTTGAATGGACATGACATGATGTGGTTGAGTTTTGATTCTGTTGGCGCTAAAATGTGCCATTTTCGTTGGCATTTTTTTTTGGGGTTTCACTGGATTCCCATGTGTATGTTCTGACTGTTTAGCAACTGCAACTATTGATACTTTGATTTTGTTTGCCTTGATTCCCGACAATGTGGCAAAGCTAATAATTAACCATGGCCGATTGTTGGGTTTATGGGTTTGCCAGATTACTTGGTTCAACTCAATAACTTTTGCATTGGTGGGAATAGAAATGATCAATCTCTATACAGCAGATTGTGTCAGTGCATTTCAAATGATTTTAGATCCCCATCCCATTCTCAACATACTGGGTTCATGTGGTTTCTTGTCTCGTCTCCCCTGAAGTTGTCTCAGGTCGGTGTGCCGTGGGGAAGTGTGTATAGAAGATATATATGATATTATTATTCCATTGGATTCATTGGATCATTGCTTATTGTAAGACCACAAAACGCATAGGCACGCTGAATTTCACCAACATGAACCTACCATTTGTAGTCATAAACATTCTTATTGTTTGTTTGTCCATTGCAGGGCACACAACGCAGGGGCACACTGGTTGTCATAAACGTGTTTGTTTATTACTTGGTTTGATACTTGTGACATGTGGCCCTGGGTATTTCAATGATTTTGTGCAGCACAACAGATCTTGTGGCAACATCGCTGTGCCATGCCGCGTCCACCTCAGCCAGTACCATTGTTTGGGGAAATATATATATATAACATGTTTTAGATCTTCAGACATCAAAAAACACGTTGTCTGCCACTAAATTTCATCAACCACGTTGCAAGCATTGCTAGGTCTGGCAGGGCGCCGGTGATGCGCTGCGACAGCTCTGTCAAAAACGCTTGCAGAAGCTGGCGGCGGAGATGAGGCCGTGGAAAAGCCAAAAATCGGGAATTTTACCGTTTGGGAAAAATCTGGATAAATTATTAGCAAATGGGATGGGATTATATCTGTATATATATAATATATATAATATATATAATATATAATATATGTATATCTCTATCTATCTGGATAAATTCTAACGACCGAAGCCTGTTCTCCCTCACTGGAAGCACGGTTATAGTGATTAAGGGGAATCATCCCCAAATAGCCGAACTTTTCAGGTGAGTGACATATTATAATTTACTCAGAAAAATGGGATCAAGGAAGTTGGGGCTCGTGGCTGATGATGACAATAGTGGTTGATCATAATGACGAATGATTGGATGTGTGATTAACGATTGATCATGAATATTTAGATAAGCCACTATGTGTACCTACGTAGTGTTAATTAGGTACCACCAGTGGTTAATCTTAATCAATAACTATGAATCATTTCGTTGGTGGTTTTAAATTAAAAAAGGAAACAGGAAGATAATTTTGTAAAGGCAACAACAGGAAAATGTGCTTTGGGTATTCAGACGGCATTCTTGTTTTGGACTGACACCTGCCAGTGCCCGATTTGGGTTTGCCCACTTGGGTTTCAGTCCAGGGTCCCTGTGTCATGGGAATGGGAGAGCAGGATCAACCGACCAAATTTGGACCTGGGGAGTTCATACCACCATTTAATCCACGTTATTTTATATATTGGTTACTTGATGTTGGTAGTTTATCAACCATAGGCAGTTGACTAACACAAAAACATGTCGCACTTTTTTCCTCTTAGCCAGAAAAAAAGGATGATCCACCAATATCTGATCGTGAACTTCGTGAACTCCATCCATGCTGATCCAAAATGGACTGATGTTCTTCTTCAGGGGTTCCACTAGATTTCACCGTGGGTTGGGCACCTGGGCACCTGGCCATGTCACAGGTGGCCCGCTGAGCCTTTGGAGATTGGTGAGACGGATGAGCTGCGCATTGCCTTCAGCGAGTGTTCTGGTTGGGGGGACTGTACGGTACACCATGGTACTATCCTGTCACTGCAGAGATGGTTAGCTGGGTGGAAAGCATGGTTTCTTGATGTTTCTTGCTACTTCCTTTCAGCCCACCATGTTGCGCTGATGTGTAGTCCAGCTTTCCGACGGCTGGTTTCTTGGGTCCCAAAAGTCCCAGGGTCAACGGATGGATCTCCAGGTATATTTGTTTGCGACTTCATGCGAACATCTTGGATGAGCTCGCAGGCAACTGCCAAAAGGATCCAAAAGGGCCCCAAAAAATTACAACTTCACGGGACCTAGCAGAAGTGGATGTGTTTTTTTTCTCTATGACAAGTCATCCTGAATAGGTGGATTCCGGGTGAGAAAGTTATAATTTAGCAAATTAAGCCTGCTCAGCGTTTCTGGAAATTGTTGTCATTTCCATCACTCTGAGGAAAGTCATGGAAGGTTGGGGTCTCAAGTTTCCATCATTTTAAAACCATTAAACACCTCTAGTACCACACCATTTGCGAAGATGAACATCCATCAATCATGGGAAAATGTGTCATGGTCCCATTAAAATCATCAAACATCCATGAAAAGTCCATTAGAATCATCATAATTCGCAAGGTTTCCCAAGGATTTTGATGCGAAAAACCCAGGGGGACGAAGCTTTGCGCCAGGTTCAACGCCGGAGATCAAGGACAGCAAGGCTTGGGAAGACGGAAAGGACAGCAGTGGAGGGAGGGCCTTTGTTTTTGAAAACGATGCCATGTTGGGTGGTGGACGACGTTTTTTCGTGGTTTATCATCATGCTTTATGATGAGGTCTGACATTTTATGATAATCTGTGATTGAAAAACGAGTCGTGGATTGACAGAGTAAACGTATACACGGTAAGTGCTCAACAATTGTAATCAAGTTATAGTATAACTGGTATGTTTACATAGGTTGTAGCCAATTGTCATTGATATGATAGGAACATGATTTGCATTGATTCTCTACAAGCACTGGGTTGCAACCGTTGCAACCTGTTGCTGGGTACCTGGGGATCCCTGTCCAGGAGCTCAAGCGAGAGCTCAAAGTCATTCAAGAGGCTGGAGCGTCGAGGTACTAAGACTTAGGTGTCTTCTGACTCAATTGTTTCGGAGGGGAAGGTTTGTAAGGGTCCAGCACTGATGATGATGATGAGGAGGAGGAGGAGAAGGAGGAGAAGGAGGAGAAGGAGGAGAAGGAGGAGAAGGAGGAGAAGGAGGAGAAGGAGGAGGAGAAGGAGAGCCACTGGTCTGTGAATCAATCTCTCCACTTTAGATTCCAGAGCGCTGCCAGGCCGGCATGTTACCTCTGCCCTGAAGCTGCAGGGAAAAAAGAAACGCTGCTGCCGCAACTTCCTTGTGGACCCCACAAGCCCTTCGACAGGGACCCCGACGTGGTGCATCGTGCCGAGGTTTGGAACATTTAGAGGGGGCCTTGCAAATGGCGGAGATGGAAGGGGCTCCCATCTGCAAAATTGGTGAGGAACAGGTGCACCGGGGATTGTGGGATGACATTTTTTGCTGGGAACCTTCAAATGGTTTCTGGGAATTGCAATGGAAAGGTTTTGAAGGATATGGATGATATGGGAGGATGAAGGATGATGATTTGCCCAAAAATTGCAAATGAGTGCAAATCATGGTCAGCGAGCGACTGGCCTATGTTGTTCCCAGCTAAGACATGGGTGCGCATATTTTTATGTGTACCTCCCCACACACTTGAGCGATCTTGAGCGGTTCCTGGCCTAGAAATAGCATCAATATCCATGAGATCATGTTGGATCCCCATGTTTTGCACGTCTTCATCGTTAAATCCATGTCATTTTGCCATGTTTGATGTTTAAATCAAGTTAAATCAAGTTAAATCACCATTTTTAGCAAGGTTAAATCACCATGTTGATGTTTAAATGTGTTAAATCACCATTTTTAGCAAGGTTAAAGCACCATGTTCATGAATTTTTGGGCCGACTGACGTGGCAGGAGCCCTGGCACCTTCCTCGCGGCCTGCACCGCTTGGCTCCCTTGGCCGCGAAACATCAGAGGCAGCTGCAGAAACTCAGGCGGACAGTGGTCTGATGACCGGAACAGACCGGTGATTTTACCCTCTGGTTATGTCAAAATAGCTATTGAAAATTGCCATTTATAGTTGGTAAACATACAAAAAGCTATTGAAAATTGCCACTTATAGTGAGTTTACAACAAGCTATTGAAAATGGCCATTGAAATAGTGAGTTTTCCCATTAATAGCATGGTGATTTTCCATAGTTATGTGAAAGTTTACCAGAGGGTAACCATGGAAAAAAAATGGTAGGAAAATGGTCAAATGGGAGTTTTACATCATGGTGGTGCCCCCGAAATGGATGGTTTATTTGATGGAACTCCCATTAAAATGGATGATGTGGGGGTAACCCTATTTTAGGACCCCCCAAAATGGTGATTCTAACCATAAGGGAAAAATTGTGCTTTAAACATGAAACATCATGAACATGTGGTGAACAAATTGGGTTTGAAACTATGGCACATCACTATGATCTGATATGTTTTTCATCACGCTGTCAACAGCATCAACATCATCGTGGCTTTTTTCATCAGGAACTTGGTGGTCAATAGAAAATTCATGACACCTTGAGCTCAACACCAACCTGCCAAGATCGCGAGTGGAAGAGCTATTGATGACGCCTACCCTTGAGTTGTTGGACATTCCTGCAGAGGCGGATGGCTATGAGGCCAGGCTGGTGAAATCCCAAGACCATCAAGAACTCAACTTAAAACACGGACGGTGTATTCAAGGGGATTTACCACCAAGTTATGGCCATCAAAAATATGAAAAAGAAACTACCCTATATATATACAGACACGTATATATATATATATATACACATATATATATATACACATATATATATATACATTTATATTATATTATATTATAATATATTATATTATATTATATTATATTATTATATCTTATATAGAGATAAACCACTCGATGGACTGGAGTTCCAATCTTGGGTTCCCCCAAAATTATGGCCATATTGTTGTGGAAGTGAGGTTCAAACCCAGGTGGAAGGGTCAAAGATGATTGGAAATGGCTACGGTTTTTAATATGCCGAAAATGATGATACAATCTCGGATTCGGTAATTTCAATTCTTGAGAATTTACTATCGCCCCAACTAACACAAACCCCGCAAAAATAGAAAGTAAGAAGATTACTTTTCTCTAAGAATAGGTGATTCTCAGGATCAAAGAGTTGGTTGTTGGACTGGTCAATTATACCAGCAAATCATCTTAACTCACCATTTGTGTTGGTTACAGTATCAAATGCACATTCCCTCCCCATTTTTAGTTGCTAAAATTCCGTCCTTGATTCGTTAGTATAAACCTCATCCACCGTTTTCATCCCAAATGTTCGGGTGATGGCATACCCCCTTTTTTTCCCAATTAAATCCTGATATTCACTGGTTAACCCCACTAATATCATTACATTTCCTATGTCCAGCCATTCACATCATCCACTTCATCCAAAACTGGTTTTCCAAATCTTCATCCAAACTTGGTATATCCCATGATATCCCATGATATATGGTTATCCAAAGGTGATATATATATATATATCAACCATGATAAATAAATATTACCATTGATTAATTAGCCATGAAAATATCATGGCACTAGCATGGTAATATCATAAAGTACCCTCTGGTAAACTAACGTAACTATGGAAAATCACTATTTTTCATAGGTAAATCAAGTATAAATGGGCCATTTTCAATAGCTATTTTGACATAACCAGAGGGTAAACATGTTATCACCATCTCCCAGCATCTCCCCTTATCCCCAGCCGTAGGTGGCCGGCAGCCGTCGCGGCTTCTCGGACCCCAGCATCGAGGCCGCGCGACAGGTCTGTGAACGCGGCCTGTCAGTGCGCCTCCAGGAGCCATGGGGTGATGGTCCGGTGGGGGATTGGGACCCTGGGATGGGGATGGGGTGATGGGAATACCCTCTGGTTATGTCAAAATAGCTATTGAAAATGGCCATTTATAGTTGATTTACCTATTAAAAATGGTGATTTTCCATAGTTATGTTAGTTTACCAGAGGGTATCTGGGATTTTTTGGAATGAATATCAACTTGGAATTTTTATAGAATCTAATATCATGGAAGATTGGAAATTGTAGGGATGGTTCTTGGAGATGGTGTTCAAAGATTGAGTAGCGCTTTTTGGGTGATTCAAGGTGTTCAGGTTCTTAGCCATCTGCTGGTTGGTCGACCTGATTTTCTACATCAGCATGTGGCCCCCCAATGGTGACACCATCTGGGGAATGAGATACCCTGCAGGGAACCCCTAAAAATTGATGAAAAGTTCATAAAAAATGATGAAAATTGATGTGTTCCCATGATGTTCCCATGATGTTCCCATCATTTCCAACGGTCTCACCGGCCAGGACCGTACTTTGTACATGCGCTTGGGACCTCGTTTCCATGACCGAGACCGCGATGTGGCAGGTGGCATGTCAGCTATTCAAAATACCACTGTTGATTGTTATAAAATGCGCTCAAACAACAGTGGCATCTCCCAGCTAAACCAGTTTTCGAAGCACCAGGTATTTAATCATATTTAATCTCTGATATGAAACATTGTTATATGATGGGGGTAGGTTTATACTAACCAGGTAATAAACCAGTTAATCTGATGGGGGTTATAAAACATTTTTTTTGTAACCTGAAATCTCAGTGCGACCAGGTCATCCAGCCTCAGTGTTGGTGACCCTGCGACGGGATGCGACTCTGCCTGAGGATGGAGATGATCGTAAGATGATTTGAGCAACAACAACTCGGGGGAATGAAAAATTGGGATTCTGAGATATAACATAGATATAACATGATGAATACATATGACATATTTTTTGTGGAAATTTGTTGGAATACTCAGCTAAGAAAGTAAAAACAAGATGGAAGGTTCGTATATGTGTTGTTGTTTCGAAGCTTCTCACGTAATTGACCTGATGATGAGCAACGAAGATTCCCTCTTTGACTTTCCACTTTTCAGAATGACAACACCGATTGTAGATAAGAGGCACTTTTTTGTTTGGAGAGTTCAAAGCGTGTCTCAAAACTAACAGATTCCAGTCAAACTGCGATCTTAGAATCGACGAATAAATCGACTCATCTAACTTTCAACCATCCTCCCAGAATAGAAGAGAACAGAACGATGGGGGAATTCTGCAAAAGTGAAGATGCATCACGCATTGTTTGCATGACGGCCAGGGTCACGGTTGTTGTCATCTAGGCTCATCCCCAAGGTAGCCCCATGTGCACCTTTCAGCAGCGCTGTAACGCAGGAGCAGTTGACCACTGACGGCAACGGATGTTGTTTTCTGCCGGAAGGGACTGAAGGCTGGCAGTGTAGAAACGGTGGAGAGATGGGTCATGGGCCCATGGGCCATGGTTTTTCCATGTTTTTTCCTGGATAGAAATGGCCAAAATCGGCCTGGTGGGCGTCGACCTGAAACGCCTTAAACGCTGGAGGTATTAGGGTGACCTTGCCGAATGAGCCTGGACTTTTGCCGATGAATGTGAGCATGTGTCTTCTACGACGAGGCCGGGCTGGTGAAATGTGGGATATGTTGGGTCGCTGGGCTGGTGGGGCTGCTAAAAATGACACAAAGTCGGTGGAAGTCTTAGTTCACCTGGGTTTCTTGACCACACATGACCACACCAGGTGAATCAACCAGCTGTTGCATATGTGGTTCTGAAGCAGAGGGGTCTTTTTCAGGGCCTAGCCCAACAGCAATCCGGATCAACTCACTGTATTATATACATAATCTGCCAGGTCTTGTGATTTCACTTTCATTGCTTGGAGAGCATACAACTTATGGATAAATCATCTGTGTTTGATTTATGACCCATTTGGAACTACGAATTTAACTACATGACTGTCAGGGCCGGGCCGCTGCATCCCATTAGAAGTGAGTTATAGCCTGGGGAAAGGGGTCATTTTACCTTTAACTAGCCATTTAAGCCCCTTGTACATGGGGTGGGTGGCGATCTGGCCAGGTTGGCATCGAGAGCAGTTGGAAAATGACCCGCAGATGCTCCGAGCGACTTGACGGACTCGACGTTCAAAAGAACCCGAGCAGATCACTTCAGCTGAGCGTTCTCAAGGGGGAAACTGATTAAGGAAGTGTATGGAACCTTATTAGTGGGGTTGTGACCTTGTGAAAGGGTTATCAACCTTATCAAGGGGCTATGAATCTTTAACCCTGATTGGGAGTTCTTTTGGCCACCAAATGTTGGGGGGATTAATATTTAGGGCACCGACTTCCATATCGACGACACAACAAAAATATACCAAGAGTCCTTATTAGTACGATAGGTACAGATAGATAGTGCATGATAGTGGCAGTTGGCCCAAACAAAATGGTTGTCCTTTGACAGGTTGTACCTGTGCTGGCAATGTAGAACTGATGTATTTCAGCAGCTTTTGAGTGTTGGATCCTTGCCAAATATTTGCCAGGCAAACTGCTCTACCAAAGGATCCTCCAGCTTTGCTGAAGGGCACACTGTCCGTTTTTGTTTTGATCCAGACCACCGAAAAAAAGAACACCAGCTGGTAGTCTACTGAGTCTACTGGAAAAAGAAGCACATAGGCAGATGCACGGCTTTCCTGTTCAGAGCCAAGATTTGAGGCGTTTAATCAACAGCGCACAGAGCCCCAACAGACTCGATTGTTGTTTTCAGCATCATCCAAAAGCGGGGAAACAAATGGCAAACTATCTCAGGCAGAGGAAAAACTGGGGAGACAAAGTGGGAAATAAAGTTGGGCTGTACGGGGGGAATACATGAGGAACAGAAGAAGATGCAACGAAGGGTGAGCTTTTTTGGGTGAATTTCATGGGACTTGGAAATGATTTGTTCATGAATGGTGAATCTGTCAGAGGACATGAGAAACAGATTTTATTCTCATTTATTATATATCCAGTTTTACGCATTATATGATAATTACAATGTCAATTCATTATTTTACCCATTTATTATCCATATATCCATGTATTGGATTATTATCCAGAAAAAATACTACTGTCCCATTATTTCCCCATTCTTTTCCCATTATTATCCCATTATTGTCTGTATATTTTCCCATTATTATCCATTTATGGATCATTTATGGATCATTTATGGGTCATTTATGGATATTTGTGGATCATTTATGGATCATTTATGGGTCATTTATGGATATATATTGGATCATTTATGGATCATTTATGGATCATTTATGGATCATTTATGGATCATTTATGGATCATTTATGGATCATTTATGGATCATTTATGGATATTTATGGATCATTTATGGATCATTTATGGATCATTCATGGATCATTCATGGATCATTCATGGATCATTCATGGATCATTCATGGATCATTCATGGATCATTCATGGATCATTTATGGATCATCTATGGATCATCTATGGATCATCTATGGATCAGTTATGGATCACTTATGGATCACTTATGGATCACTTATGGATCACTTATGGATCATTTATGGATCACTTATGGATCACTTATGGATCACTTATGGATCACTTATGGATCACTTATGGATCACTTATGGATCACTTATGGATCACTTCTGGATCACTTGTGGATCACTTGTGGATCACTTATGGATCACTTATGGATCACTTATGGATCACTTATGGATCACTTATGGATCACTTATGGATCACTTGTGGATCACTTGTGGATCACTTGTGGATCACTTATGGATCACTTATGGATCACTTGGATCACTTGTGGATCCCTTATGGATCCCTTATGGATCCCTTATGGATCCCTTATGGATCGTTTATGGATCGTTTATGGATTTATGGATCGTTTATGGATCGTTTATGGATCGTTTATGGATCGTTTATGGATCGTTTATGGATCGTTTATGGATCGTTTATGGTTTATCGGATTTATGGATCGTTTATGGATCGTTTATGGATCGTTTATGGATCGTTTATGGATCGTTTATGGATCGTTTATGGATCGTTTATGGATCGTTTATGGATCGTTTATGGATCGTTTATGGATCGTTTATGGATCGTTTATGGATCGTTTATGGATCGTTTATGGATCATTTATGGATCGTTTATGGATCATTTATGGATCATTTATGGATCATTTATGGATCGTTTATGGGTCGTTTATGGATCGTTTATGGATCGTTTATGGATCATTTATGGATCATTTATGGATCATTTATGGATCATTTATGGATCATTTATGGATCATTTATGGATCAAATATGGATCATTTATGGATCATTTATGGATCATTTATGGATCATTTATGGATCATTTATGGATCATTGGTCATGGATCTCATTTATGGATCATTTATGTCATTTATGGACCATTTTCTGCTCATTTATGGATCATTTATGGATCATTTATGGATCATATATGGATCATTTATGGATCATTTATGGATCATTTATGGATCATTTATGGATCATTTATGGATCATTTTTGGATCATTTATGGATCATTTATGGATCATTTATGGATCATTTATGGATCATTTATGGATCATTTATGGATCATTTATGGATCATTTATGGATCATTTTTGGATCATTTATGGATCATTTATGGATCAAATATGGATCATTTATGGATCATTTATGGATCATTTATGGATCATTTATGGATCATTTATGGATCATTTATGGATCAAATATGGATCAAATATGGATCATTTATGGATCATTTATGGATCATTTATGGATCATTTATGGATCATTTATGGATCATTTATGGATCATATATGGATCATTTATGGATCATTTATGGATCATTTATGGATCATTTATGGATCATTTATGGATCATTTATGGATCATTTATGGATCATTTATGGATCATTTATGGATCATTTATGGATCATTTATGGATCATTTATGGATCATTTATGGATCATTTTTGGATCATTTATGGATCATTTATGGATCATTTATGGATCATTTATGGATCATTTATGGATCATTTATGGATCATTTATGGATCATTTATGGATCATTTATGGATCACTTATGGATCACTTATGGATCACTTATGGATCACTTATGGATCACTTATGGATCCCTTATGGATCCCTTATGGATCCCTTATGGATCCCTTATGGATCGTTTATGGATCCCTTATGGATCGTTTATGGATCCCTTATGGATCGTTTATGGATCGTTTATGGATCGTTTATGGATCGTTTATGGATCGTTTATGGATCCCTTATGGATCGTTTATGGATCGTTTATGGATCGTTTATGGATCGTTTATGGATCGTTTATGGATCGTTTATGGATCGTTTATGGATCGTTTATGGATCGTTTATGGATCGTTTATGGATCGTTTATGGGTCGTTTATGGATCGTTTATGGATCGTTTATGGGTCGTTTATGGGTCGTTTATGGGTCGTTTATGGATCGTTTATGGATCGTTTATGGATCGTTTATGGGTCGTTTATGGATCGTTTATGGATCATTTATGGATCAAATATGGATCATTTATGGATCATTTATGGACCATTTATGGATCATTTATGGATGATTTATGGATGATTTATGGATGATTTGTGGATGATTTATGGATGATTTATGGATCATTTATGGATCACTTATGGATCACTTATGGATCACTTATGGATCATTTATGGATCATTTATGGATGATTTATGGATGATTTATGGATGATTTATGGATGATTTATGGATCATTTATGGATATTTATGGATCATTTATGGATCATTTATGGGTCATTTCTGGATGATTTATGGATGATTTATGGATGATTTATGGATGATTTATGGATCACTTATGGATTCATTTATGGATCATTTATGGATCACTTATGGATCATTTATGGAATTTATGGATCATTTATGGATCATTTATGGATCATTTATGGATCATTTATGGATCATTTATGGATCATTTATGGACCATTTATGGATCATTTATGGATCATTTATGGATGATTTATGGATGATTTGTGGATGATTTATGGATCATTTATGGATCATTTATGGATCACTTATGGATCACTTATGGATCACTTATGGATCACTTATGGATCACTTATGGATCATTTATGGATCATTTATGGATGATTTATGGATGATTTATGGATGATTTATGGATGATTTATGGATCATTTATGGATATTTATGGATAGTTTATGGATCATTTATGGATCATTTATGGATGATTTATGGATGATTTATGGATGATTTATGGAGGTATTTTATGTAATTTGTAGTATGGATGATTTATGGATGATTTATGGATGATTTATGGATGATTTATGGATCATTTATGGATCATTTATGGTTCATTTATGGATCATTTATGGATCATTTATGGATCATTTATGGATCATTTATGGATCATTTATGGATCATTTATGGATCATTTATGGATCATTTATGGATCATTTATGGATCACTTATGGATCATTTATGGATCATTTATGGATCATTTATGGATCGTTTATGGATCGTTTATGGATCATTTATGGATCATTTATGGATCATTTATGGATCATTTATGGATCACTTATGGATCATTTATGGATCATTTATGGATCATTTATGGATGATTTATGGATGATTTATGGATGATTTATGGATCATTTATGGATATTTATGGATAGTTTATGGATCATTTATGGATCATTCATGGATCATTCATGGATATTTATGGATCACTTATGGATCATTTATGGATCATTTATGGATCATTTATGGATGATTTATGGATGATTTATGGATCATTTATGGATCATTTATGGATCATTTATGGATCATTTATGGATCATTTATGGATCATTTATGGATCATTTATGGATAAACATGTGTTTCCCCAGTTCAAGACATCGCCTTTGGGGCGGGGAATCGATTTTTCGTCCAAGGCCTTGGTGCTGCCGGGCAGCGGCCGATGCTATTTGTCGCTGGGGGGTGCCAGGAGACATCGAAGAATCGCCTGGGTGTGACGACTGGGTACTGTAAATCGATGTGTATATTATATGTATATACAATGGATGGATAATATCCAATAGAATACAATATATATATATATTAATCATTCCATATCATGACTAGCTATTGTTTTATGCGGTTTTGTAAGGTTTTGTGTCAAACTTGGAACCACTGAAGATCTGAAGACCTTAGCTGAGACCAAATTGGGACCCAATGTTATGCGTTGGACCCAGACATAGTTCTGACGACGTGCCTACACCTAACTCCGTACATGTACATGCATTGTTCAAGTGGGTTTTCACGTGAATTCATCAGGAGGTGTCAGCTGGGATCATCATTTTCCCCAAGTAGAATTGCCAAACATGGAGGTCTCCCATCTATTTTTGAACAAACCTTCATATGTCCCCATATTCTTTGGCATATCCCAAGAAAAAGCCCCATTCTGCCCCCATTCTATCCGTTTCGTTCATGGCTATACCCCCGTAACTCGTTGAATAAATCCGATCCGTTCATGGACCAGGAGTCACTTTCCCTCGCACGGCTGGCAACCTGCGCAGCTGCAGTTGCGTTTGTCCTCGAGACTCAACGTGCGCTGTCCCTATGCAGGCGATGATTTGGAGCCCAAACAGCTCATCCGGTTGGGTGTCATGAGAAAGTCATCTTTGCCCATGTTTTTGGAGTGTTTTTGGGGGGTTGAAGATGGATCAAGTACATCTATGAAATGGAGGTCATGATGATTTCATGGTATCTTTAATTATGAGTTTTTTCCAATTTTGAAACAGTTGTTCCTATTCCACGTTTTGCTCACGTTATGTTGCGTCAAATCCCAGTGTTTCGCCCTGTTTCAGGTTGCACTTGGACCGGCCATGAGGGCGATTTGGCCAGCCATCAACTGCAGTGCGAGGAGCAGAAAATCCCACGCGTCAAAGTGGTTAAGAACTAATAAACATATATAGATATACCATGATATACCATGATATACCATGATATACCATGATATACCATGATATACCATGATATACCAGTTATAGAGTTATAGTTATAGATATACCAGTTTTCTAGTGGTTCATATCTGGTAAGGCCAGTTTTATATTCTTGGCTATACCAAAAATGTATATATATATTTATACATATATATTTATATGCATATATATATATTTATACATATATATATACATATACATATATATATATACATATACATATATATATATACATATATATATATATTTATACACATATATATATATATATTCATATACATATATATTTATACATATATATATATATATATTCATATACATATATATTTATACATATATATATATATTTATACATATATATATATATATACATATATATATAAATACATATACATATATACATATATATATATACATATGTATATATATATACATATTTATATACATATACATTATATACGTATACACATATATATATATATAATATCGACATATTTTTTGTAAGCCACTTACGAATCCTGGCATGCACCCCCAAGTCTATAGGATGATATTCAATGATATTCAAAGATATTCAAAGACTTGGGCTACAAATGCTCAAACTTGGACAGGGTGGTTTTATATCCTTGATTTCACATCCCTACTGGTCTGTTATAAGTTCCCATGTTAATCGAATCCTCCATTAATTATATGTAGCACTTCATAACCCCATGTAGCTATTAGGTGGTAAGTAATATAAACCAAACTACTACTAAGGTTACTATCAGCTACAACTGAGCTAACTTAAGTATAGTAGCACCAGCCTATAGTTAAATTACTCCATCGTTATCACATCACTACTCATACTCTCTCAACCCAATTGATTCGTTATATTGGTTATATTATGGGATATTTTAGATATATGAGACAAATCATATTAATTGGATATGTTCGTTATTCTACATTTAAGTTATACTGTAGAGATTTGTGAGATTAGTCATGCGAGTGAATCAACCAACTTAGCAAACTGAACCCCATTGCATCACCATTGAATCCCATTAAATCTAATTAGTTCCCGTCAAACCACCGTCAAATCCCAAGAAATCCTATCAAATGTCCCTTGAAATCCCAAGAAATTCCCATTGAAATCCTACTAAATGAGACATTTCACCATGAAATTCCTATTAAATAGGTATTTTACCTACTAAATCATCATGAAATCGCTGGTAAAATACCGACCCTTCGCTCATTTCGGCAGGAGGTGCGCCGCATCCGCCGCGCCGTGGAGCTCCGCCGCAACGCGGCGCGGCGCGACCTGTGGCATCTGCAGGTGGCGCTCTCCTGGTGTTCGGAGCAGAGCCGCAGCGATTTGGAGCCCTGGTTTTCTGATGGGCTGATGGGTTGATGGGTTGATGGATTTTTGATGATTTGTTGGATTATTATGATTATTCCCGAGAGCGCCTGCGAAGGGTTCTTCGTAAAAAAGCAGCCGTTATACTAGATCTTCACACCTTCACACCTGCAGATCTAGATCTTCACACTCTCACATCTGCCGATCTACATCTTCACACCTTCACATCTGCTGATCTAGATCTTCACACCCTCACATCTGCAGATCTAGATCTTCACACCTTCACACCTGCAGATCTAGATCTTCACACTCTCACATCTGCCGATCTACATCTTCACACCTTCACATCTGCTGATCTAGATCTTCACACCCTCACATCTGCAGATCTAGATATTCACACCTTCACATCTGCAGATCTAGATCTTCACACTCTCACATCTGCCGATCTACTGTACATCTTCACACCTTCACATCTGCTGATCTACATCTTCACACCTTCACACCTGCAGATCTAGATCTTCACATCCTCACATCTGCAGATCTAGATCTTCACCCTCACACCTGCAGATCTAGATCTTCACACCCTCACATCTGCAGATCTAGATCTTCACACCTTCACATCTGCAGATCTAGATCTTCACACCCTCACATCTGCAGATCTAGATCTTCACACCCTCACATCTGCAGATCTAGATCTTCACACCCTCACATCTGCAGATCTAGATCTTCACACCCTCCCACCTGCAGATCTAGATCTTCACATCCTCACACCTGCAGATGTAGATCTTCACACCCTCACATCTGCAGATCTACATCTTCACACCTTCACACCTGCAGATCTAGATCTTCACACCCTCACACCTGCAGATCT